CTGTGCGGTGGGGCAGCATCAAGGGGCAGAGTGCCACCTCCCCTGCCACTTCTTTTTTTTCTGAGACGTCTCACCTGTATGCCCCCTGGCGTAGAGTGCCGTGAGGTTGAGCCTACTCACAGCAACCTCGAGCAACTCAAGCGAGTCCTTCTGCGTGCGCCAGCCATGTCCCGCTAATTTTTTTCTATATATTTTAGCTGACCATTCTAATTTCTTTTCTATTTATAGGTAGAGACGGGGGTCTCACTCATTGCTCCAGGTTGGTTTCTAACTCCTGACCTTGCAATCCTCCCGGCCTCGGGCCTCCCAGAGTGGCTGAGGACTTACAGGCTGAGCCACTCGCCCGTCCCATCCCTGTCACTTCTGTATAATAGTGGGTGGGGTCGGCTCCCACACCCGGGGCCCATTCCAGTTAAGCTTTCGACTTACTGCGGGGCCGGAGCGAGGGGAACTTGTTGCAGACACTGTCCTGCACATCAGCACGGCATGACATGACGACAGGGAAACGCACAGCGCTCTTACAAAATCGGGTCGTCGTCGAGGCTCCTGCCAGCTGGGGCCAGCGCCCATCGTTCCGCGGACATTCACAGGCTGAGCCGGGTGCCTAGCAGGCCAGGTGCCACTAAACGCAATTTCTCGGCCTATGCGGTTTTCAGCTGACCCCGCGGTTTGTCGGGGACGCAGCCCCGTCAGAAATTATGGAGCTTCTGTACTTTCCCTGGGCTGCCCAAGGTCAGATCAAGGTCATGGTGAGGCTAATGTTTCTCCCTGGGTAAATAAGGGTATGTGGGTACTTAGCTCAGAACAATCTCTGCCACTCCTCGACTTGAACTTGGAGGACACTATGGCTGGAACGCTAACCACCCCCTTTGCCTTCAAGTGAAAAGGTGAGGTACCATCCTGCCACCTGCACAGCCGGGGTACATCTCGGTACGCCGGGTCTCCTCTAGGTGTGGTGCCACACGCCGGGCAGTCTTGGAGCCGGAGGGTGGCTTTCTCAAACGTGGCTCCTGCTGTGGGTGTTCTGCGCCGTTGTCCCGGTTCCTTGTGGCACCCACACCTTGCCCGCAGGTCCTGAAGGGCAGGGCGCCTCCTGAGCAGGAGCCCCGGGCCGCACCGAGCAGAGACAAGTCCCTTCGAAACCAGCCCAGCGCTGGGCGTTGAGCAGGGCCTTGTGCTGCTGGTATGGGGCTGTGGCTCTGCTGTCTCCCACTGAGGGGAGGGTGAGGCACCCGGGCTCATGCGACAGGCGTGGCCATGGGAAGAGACACTGTCGTGGCTGGCAGCATGTCGGCCTCATGAGGGGACTGGACCATCAGTGACAGGGCGGGGGAAGGGCCCCATACACGGGGAGGCCGGCCGCGCACCAGGCCCTCGCTGGCTGTCTCGCGGCCCGGGCCAAGTGTGACCGTGCTTGGACTCAGCACCATGTTCCAGGGAAAGACACCTCTCAAGAGTCAGGAAGCTAAAAAGCCAATGCTCGCGCCGCGTTGAAAGCCCGGCTGACTCACTGTCCCCCTAAGCCTCTGATCGGCTCTCGAGGTCCAAGACCGGTGAGCACCAAGGGCCTTCACTGTTCTGAGGCTACAGGGGGATGAGGGGCGTGGCTGGGCTACCATGGCCCCCCTCTGCAAGAAACAGGAGGAGGTTCAGGGTGAGCGAGCAGGGCGGTCATGCGGGTGATCCTAATGGGCGTATGCGGCCACCTGCAGCAATTCTCAGCTGCACCTTGATGGACACTGCTAAGTAAGCAACCTACGTCTGACCTGGCCATTCCTCTTCTACCCATTCATGAGTATATCGGGGTGCAGGGTCTCAGCCCGAGATTGTCCACTCCCCCCTCGGGGCCTGTCCTCACCCTGATCCTGGCTGTTTCTGCACCCCGGAGCCTCGGTCGTGCACAGAGGACCCCTTTCCCACCTCTCCTACCTGGGTGCCTGGGACCCCTTTCCCACCTCTCCTACCTGGGTGCCTGGGACCCCTTTCCCACCTCTCCTACCAGAGACATGGCCAAATGAGAACCCTGCCAAAGGTCCAGCGGGGCTGCTGAGGGGCAACCCTGCTGCCCAAATTACTAACCCTGGGCCCACCTGCCTGCGCCCATAAAGATCAGAGAATCCCACCTGCGCCCCCACCCACCTGCTGCCTGGGCTGGGACCACCTCCAACGCCCTCACCATAGCTGATGGGACCGCAGCTCCGGGGCCTGCCCGGGAGAAAGACCGCAGACGGGCACCCCAACAGCGCACGGCCGACGCGGCTCGCACCTGCTCAGACTCGCGAGGGCGCTGCCCTGGGCGGCACACCTGGCACCCGCCGGCCAGCAGCCACCGGCCAGCACCCGCCGGCCAGCACCCACCGGCCAGCACCCGCCGGCCAGCACCCGCAGTGCCTCTTTTCTGCAAACGGCCCAGTGTGACATATCCCTAACTGAAACCCCACCTCCAGGGTGCAGGAGTGGGGGAGGTGCAATGGGACAGGCATGTTCCAGCAAGGACAAACGCGGGGACACTGAGCGGCCCTGGGTGGGCTCCCCCCACCAGGACCAGGGCAACCGCCGAGGGCCCAGCCCGCACTGGACACACAGGGGTGCAGGATTCCCATCCGACAGGTGGGTGGAGCTCCAGCTGCAGGGCAGGTGTGGCCCCAGGGGCCCTGGCTCTGTCCCTTACAGACACGGGAGCCACACCTGACCCCTCCCGTGAAACTTCAGCACAGCCGTCCGGGGGGCCGTTCTGGGGCGGGACTCAGCGGCAGAGCGCCGTGACAGGCTGCGCCCAGAGCCTCTCGTCCCCTCCCGGCAATGGAGCGTCGAGGCCGAGGGACCACCAGTGCCCCATGCAGGGAGGCCCCGCCGGTGCCCGGGCAGCGCCTGCTCCCGCAGCCCGACGGCCACCCCTCGTCCAGTGGCCTCCCCTCCCCTCTGCTGTTCTCAGTCTCTGGGCTCCCGAGTTGGACGAACGTCACGTCACCTGCCCTCAGAGCTTTCGAAGATCTTAGAAAGACCACCACTCCCTCTCGGGGCCGCCGGACCCTGCCAGAGCCGCTCCCGTGCAGAGCCGGGCCCCGCAGGGCCCCCCTGTGCCACTGGGCCGGCCTCAGTGTCGGCATGGTTCTCGGCCCGTCGGACCCAGCACTGGCCTGGGCTAAGTGCCCTGGAGACGGATCCCAGCCACACCTGGCCCTTGCTCGCCCTGCCCGCAAGCACCCTTGGGTTTCCATGTCAGCTCTGCCCCAGTGTCCCTGGACCAGCTTCCTTCACCTCTCTGGGCCTCAGTCTCTTCGTCTGTAAGATGGGCACACTGATGCCACCTCCTTGGATTTACACACAGGACCAGAGAGACTCTGCTCCCTGGCAGAGGGCTCAGTGGATGGCAGCACCCACCCCCCACCCGTGGGTGCTTCCAGCACATGGGATAAGTCACTCCAGGCTCCAGGCCTGAGAAATTCCCTCCTGGCCTCTTCGTACAACAGACCAGCTCTAGCCTGGGCCTGTGGCAGGAGAGACTGGGCGGGGGGCGGGGGGGCTGCAAGGGGCCTGCTGGGGACACAGTGGCCGGGTGGCCAGCAGGCCCTGAGCACACACTGCTGAGGGCTGGCCACAGGGCCAGGTGGCTCTGAGCACCCAGCAAGAACTCTGACGCCAGCCAAGCTGCAGGGTCGAGGTCAAAGGGGCACGGGCTCCCCGAGGACTTGGTCTTGTCCACACTGGTCCTCAGCATCAAACCTGGTCCCACTCAGGGGTGTCGTGCAGGAGAAATGACTTCGCTGCGTGGGTGAGCTGCACAGAGCACCATGCATGAAACGCCACAGACGGGACCGACGCCTGGCCCTGGGTGATGGTGTCCCATGCCCACGGCCCCCCAGGACCCCACACTGGTCGGGAGAGGTCAGAGATGCACGACCCAGGCTGCAGCCCCAGCTCGGCCACTTCACTTGGGGCCAAATGGCCCCAGGAGGGACCTTGGGGGTGCTGACAGCTACCGTGGCGGCTGGCGTGGTCAGGGTGCAAGGGGAGCTCAAATTCCCAAGGACACAGCACCTGTTGGCAGCGCCGTCATGCCCTGGACATGCACAGGCCCTAGAGCCCAACTCAGGCTGCCAGGAAGCTCCCGGGCTGTGCTGCCTTCCAGAAGCCGCCCTCTCTGTGCCCCAGTTTCGTATCTTAAAGGGGGTCATTTACCCCTCCTCTACGATGCCTCCGCCAGAGGCAGGAGACAAAACGAACAAACGCGAGATTCCCGGCCCGGCACTCGCGGTAGGTCCTCTCACAAGGCAGCCACCCAGATTCCACCGACCGCCAAACCGGTTCTGGAAAAGCAAGCCACGCCGGGCACGTGGCCGTGCAAACTCCCACCTGGAAACTGCTAGGCGAGGGTCTGTCCCAGACGCCGTCAGCATCTGTAACGGCAAGACGATGGCCGCTGGTTGTAGCAGGAGAAGACCCCAAGTCCGGCTTTCCGTACTGACGACATCCCCAGACGTCAGACGTGGAACATTCCAACCGTGCATCCGAGACACGAGGATGGACTCTGCCCTAAAGCAGCAGCGCCGGACGTGGGGGGGGGCTGGCCTCGAGAGCCCCTGTGCGCCCCCCGCCCGCCCCCAGACTGGCTCGGCTCCTTTTGCGTGGCCCAAGTACGTCCTGATAGACGGGGCGCACCCCCCCACGGCCTCCTGTGCATTTGCAAACGTCTCTCTTCTGGGGGAGAACTTGTCCTGATCTTTCGGGCAGGTCAGTGCCACTCCGGGCAGAGGATTCATTTTGCAACCGAAACATTTTTTCCCTCCATTGCAAAAGGAGCGGCGCTCCGTGAACGAGATTTTTGCAAAACTGAGTGACAGAGAAAAGCAGAAGCAGAAGTTTTCGATCCTCCACCACGCCCAGCACACAGCGCCTGACGCCGGGGCTCACGTGCACGCGGACCCGAGCTGCCCCCACCTCCCCGCGCTGCACTTCCACGCGTGACCAGTCCTGGGTCGCAAGAGAACAGCCCGTGACAGTCCATCAGGTCACGCTGTCACAGCTGCTCAGCCCCGACATCCGACCCTGCAACAGTGGCCGGTTGCTTCTCATTTTCATGCCTGAGGCAGCCACTCCACACCTGGTCCCTCGGAACCTTCTAGAGACCCACCTAAAGGCAAAGAGAATCGTGGGACGGATGGGGAAGCTCGGGGCGGGGGAGGGGCTGGCCCAGGTTCACACAGCCGAGCGGGGGACCCCGTCCCCCAAGGCGCATCTTTTTCAAGGCCTTCACTCAGCTGCCTCTGACCCACTGGACAAAGCTGACGGGCCCCCGGAAGGGTGCGCCCGCACCAATGCCCTTGTTCATCAAAGACCTAAAAAGGCGAACCACGGAAAGACAAGAGTCGAGGTGTCTGTGATGGGTCACTTGGGAGGGGCCGGGTGGGCCAAGGACCGAGCTGGCAGGAACCAGCCACCGCCAAGGGAGGGCAGGCGAGGGGGGCTGGCAGTCTGTGAGGGCTTCCTGGAGGAGGAGGACCTCATGAGTTGCAATGTGCAGGAGATTTGTAGACTGGACACATTGGGCCACTGCCCGCCAACGACACCCGATGGGCCGACGGGTCCCCACTCTTCACACCCAGTGATCTGAGAAGAAAAGGCTCCTGACCTGCCTGGGCCGCCCCCGACAGCTTATATTCCCGAGTGACCCTCCCCTGCCAGGGAAGTAGCCTGGGTCCCCGCAGCCCGACACACACAGCTGTCACTGCCCCACACCTGCAGGTGCACCTCCCTCTGCGGGACGCGCCGGCCTGTCCGCCGGGCACCGTGGGGCCATTCGGGATGGGGTGTGGTTTCACAAGCCCCCCGGATCGGCCCTAAAGGGAGCTTATATGGCGGAGGTGCAGGAGGGAACTCCGTGGGGCGATGCCACCAGCTTGGTGGCTTGCGTGGTGGCACTGAGCACACGGCAGCAGGCCACGGTTTCTCTTCTTCGGGTTCACTCACTCGGGAAACGTTCCCCCAGAGACTGGACACCGGGCTGGTGCCGGGCCCCGGGGCCCAGGGGCGACTGTGGCACATCCTGCCCAAGGCACTCAGTCTCCCAGGACCCATGCGGAACCGACCCACCCCGCTTAGAGCGGCAAGCCTGCAGGGCAGTGGGCAGGTGGAGAGCACAGGGGCTTCCAGGAGGAGGTGATGCTAGCCGAAGTCTGGAGAGGTAGATGATGGAGCTGTGGAGGGGGACGGGGCTGGTAGCTGTGGGCAGAAAAGGCCTGGGCTGAGGGTGGTGGCCCGTCTGGCACTGGCTCTGCCACTGAGAGGCCCCGAGGGATCTTAACCTCCGGCCCCGGTTCCCTGTCTTTAAGGTGGGGCTGGTGACCCATCGGCCCTGTGAGGTCGCCCCAGACAACAGATGTCAGCGCCTGGCACCCAGAGGAGCTTTGTCCCCCCACCCTGGGCCTGGACCCAAGAGACAGCGTGGAGCTCGGGAGCCAGGCAGTGCCCGCCGGCCGCCCGGCCTCCCCAGCGGCTGTAAATCACCGCGCCACGCTTCGTAATTACGTGGGCACTTAAGCTCTTCTATCTTCTCTTCCCTCTCTCCCTGGGGGAATGTCCTTCATCTCCGGCATCATCCCCGGCTCCCCGTACATCTGAATTGAGCCTCGGCCAGGGCTGCGGCCGGCTGCCTGCGCTCGCCCCGCTGCCCTCTTTCATCGGGAGGGCGGCGAGGGGGCCCGGAGCCGGTGGCCGGCGGCATGTGGCCATTCAAATCGCAGTCTCATTCCTGCCCAGGACGGGAAACTGAAAATGTCACCATGCCCGTCCTCCGAGCTGCAGTGGCAATGTCTCCGGGGCCCTCGGCACCTCCCAGGTGGGAGGCGGGTGGCAGCTGGGTGGGGGACGGACTCGGCCCCTCGGGGTCAGAGGGGAGGAAGCACCACCTCCCGGGCCACCTGAGGCACCAGCGCAGGGCAGGTGCCACCCCGGAGGCTCCCGGCGGCGATCCCAGGGGGTTCTGACAAAGGTCAGCCTGTCCCCACCTCCCGTGGCCCTCTGGGATGTGCAGCCGGCTACACGCGTGCCGAGGATGTCAGGGTAGGCGAGGTTCCGACGCCGCCTCCCGCCGTTTCTCCAGCCCGACGCCTCCTGTCATCTCGCTCTCACGCTGACCGATGGCCGGGTCGGGGTCACTCCCCGTCTCACGGACGAGGGTACTGTGGCCAGGGAGGCCGAGCAACCCGCCCAGACCCCCGGTCAAGTCTCCCCCCGCCACCCCGATTCCTGCTCCTCGCCGGTAAGCTAGCAAGTGTCCCCAGGGCTCAGCAGAGGCCGTCTCTGTGACCGTCCCCCGCAGGCAGGAGGAGCTGGGGTCCCTGGGAGGAGCCGCA